TAATTTGGAATTAAAAAATTAAGAAAAAGTAGAAGTAGAATTTGATATTTTATAAGCAAATAAATAATTCCAAACTCACCTAACTTAAAAGCCCAATACAAGGATGGGATAGCCGACAGCAGTTAGATTTTCATTGGGAGCTTGGGATTAGTATATTAATAGTATATTAATAGGAGAATCTCCTGGTGGGCAAACCTTCGCAAATGGTATGATGTCATTAAAGTTCGAATAACGATGATGATCGCCAACATCCGAAACGGATAAGGCGAAGAAGAAGAATGTGATGAAGTAAAGGGAAACAGAATTTTTTCATTTGTTTTCATCATACACCATGTTTTTGTTTTTAAATTGTCTTATGCTTTTTTAATGATTTTAAATAATGTAGAGGCTAAATGAGTAGAATAGTGAAGTCAAAATAATACGATTTAATACAAATAAATCACTAATATAAAATGTGTTTTTTGATATTTTCATGTTATTATAATTCCTTCTTTATTTAGATTATAGTAGAGCGCCTAAAATTTGTAGTTAATCACAAAAAAGAAATTAAGAGTATATAGCTGCAAACCTTATTTAAAAAAATTTAATCCATGTCAGTATATCTTAGATGTTTGTTTGTTTGTGTTCAAAAATAAAATTTTACTCTGGAGAAACTCAGACTTACATAAATTTAACACTAGAGATAGGAATAACTTCTGGGTAAATATCAGTGTATCGAAAATTTCATACAAATCGGAAAAATATATAGGACCAGTAATTTTTAGCAATCTACTTGCAGAAATAAAAAAAATATATCGATTGGAAAGAGGCTTTAAATCAAAACTAAATAATTACTTAGTTGACAAAAGTTTTTGCAAAATTAAGGCGTTTTTATAACAACGTGTTATATTTTTATACACTTTGTTAGATGTTTTAGCTTTAAGTATTTTATATCTTTTTGTGACAACTTCTATGCAAACTATCAATTTGTCTTTTATAGTAACTCAACGAAGTATGATAAGGATACGTTAAATAGTTCTGAAGAAATAGGCCGAAAGTAATTTCTCAAAAGCGAAATTATGTCCAGTCTGTATATAAAAAACAAAATACCATCGAAAGTGGAAAGTAAAAGTCCACAGTGATATCGATTTTATTTTTGATAATATTTAATAAAGCAGATAAGGGACTGTTTAATAAAACCACCTGTATTTACCTTTGAAAACAATAAAAGGGAAACTAAACTGGTTTCCGCACGCACAAAATTTTTAAATAAAAATGCGACATATATATATATATATATATATATATATATATATATATATATATATATATATATATATATATATATATATATATATATATATATAATACGCCGCAATTCTTAGAAGTAGGGGAAATATTGATCATCAGATAAAGGCAAAAACATAATTACGAATGAAAAACATAACGGATAGCGCGAATGAGAAAGTCCTGGTGGGGGTGGGGTTGGGGAGAGTCGAAGAGAGAGAAAGAATGGCTTCACATGTGAACACAAGGCCGTATTGCTTTACACCACACCTTATATCGAATTTAAACTCAAAAGTTTCCCTTATTCTATGGCCACTTTTCCATTTGTGTAATAAACTATCACCAAGATTCCTTATAGGGGAAACGAAACGTTCAAAAAACAATAGACAATCAACGAATAATTCGCCACCAATTTTGTTTTCGTCATTACTCGTCTGGTTTCCATATGATGTCATGCCGCAAAACCCATCTGGCAATTTGAATGAAAATTGAGCCCAATTAGCGGAAACAACTTCAAGAGTCAATTTGTCGGCTTGTTCTGGATCCTATAGAATAAAAAAATATCACGAAAAAACCGAAAGGGCTTATAATAATTATCCGAGACGTTTAATGTTAAATAAAATGTCTGTCAAGTCCTCGATCGATTATTTTAATCGAGTTGCATATTTTAAATTTAGTTTTTGTTTTCTTCACTTCCTAAGCAGGCAATTTCCAAGGCAAAGTAAAAAGCCTTTTGTCGAAGGTCACCTAACGCGAATACATACGTTGACCAAATTTGTTTTATGAATTTCCAGTGGAAATATTGCGTTTATATTTTTTAAAATTTATTTTACATGAATTGAAGGAATAAGGCAGACATTCGTTTTATACAATAGTTATATAAAATAGTTGCTGCATTGAGGATAACCTTTCTTCTTGATAATATTTCATTTGGATTACACTTAGAGTCCAGCGCTTTGAAATTATTTCAATTAGATTTTTATATGTTATAAAAGATTTTAAAATTTGCAAATCTCTGTAATATAAAGCTTAATCTATGGAATTTTGATTATCCGAAAAGTAACAATCAATAGTGAAAAATATTAATCGGGAGATTTCAAATTATGTCAATTAGATTTTTATATATTTTAAAAGATATAAAAATATCTAAAATAAATAAAATAAAATAAAAAAAATATTATTAATTAATTAGATTTATTATGTGTTATTCATGTAATTAATTATATTACATTTTTAAAAGTTGTTTTAAATATAAACGATTTTGAAAGTTGCAAACTTTTATAAAATAAATATTAACCGAAGAACTGTCAATAATCTGAAGTAACATTGAAAAATATTATTCATGAAATTTATTATTTTGAATACAGTGGAAGACTTTCTAAATAATTGAAATGTCGCAAAGCCTTTATAAAGTAAAGATTAATACAACGAATATTGACAAACTGAAGTAATCAACGTTGAAAATTATTATTCATGAGATTTATTATTTATTATGTAGTATAACGCTTTCTAATTATTTGAATTAGATTTTTACATGTTATATAAACGATTTTGAAAGCCGTAACCTTTTTAAAATAAAGGTTAATCAAAGGAATGTCAACAAACCGCAGTAATAATCAATGTCGAAAAAAAAATTGCTATTTTTCATGCAGTTCAGCGCTTTGTAATGTATTGAATTAGATGTTTATAGGTTATAAACGATATAAAAATCAAAAACCCTTATGAAATAAAGGTTAATGTAAAGAACGTTGATAAATTAATGTGACAATCATTGTCAAAAAATATTATTCGGGGGATTTATTATTATTTATACATTGTAGCTATTTGCAATGAATTAAATTAATATTTTATATATTGTCATGTATATGAACAATTTTAGAAGTCTCAAATCTTATTAGATAAAGGTTGATTGAAGGAATGTTGATAATGCGAAGCAATAATTAATGTTGAAAAATATTAGGGGATTTATCATTGTTCGTGCAGTGTAGCACTTTCTAATGCATCGAATTAGATTTTTATAGGTTATAAAGGACATAATTTATTTTAAACATAGAAAACCATTATAAAATAAAGGTTAATCTAAAGAATTAAAATAAATTTATATATGTTGTAATAAATATAAACGATTTTAAAAGTAGCAAACCTTATAAAATAAAGGTTAATATAAGGAATATTGATAATAAGAAGCACTAATCAATGTTGAAAAATATTATTCGGGAGATTTATTATTTTATATGCTGTCTAGCGCTTTGTAATGCATCGAATTCGATTTTAATTTTTTTATTTTTTCTCCCTCGGACTACTGTAATACTATTTACAAATCTTCTTTATGCCATATGCGTCGGTTGTTTATAAATCAAACTGACTGACGTTTCGCCGATCATCCTGTTGGCTTCTTCAGAGCTAAACTGAATAGCTTTCGGTTAAAAGCAGCAGGGATCCAAAAGATTTATAAATAGTAGATTTTTATATTTTATAAAAGATATTAATTATTTTAAAAGTGGCAAATCTTATAAAATAATGTTTAAGTTGAATAATGTTATAATAATAATTAAGGGAATTTTCATAAGCCGAAGTAATAATCAATGCTGAAAAATATTATTAAGGAGATATATTATTTTTGAAGCAGTGTAGCGCTTTATAAAATAAAGGTTAATTTAGGGAATATTGGTAATGCGAAACAAAAATCGACGTTGAAAAATATTATACGGGAGATTTATCATATTTTATATAGCGTAGCGCTTTGTATCGAATTAGATTTTTCTATGTTATAAAGGATATAAACGATTTCAAAAGTCGAGCAAGCGTCGACATAGTAGGCCCGTAGTTTAGTAAGTAGTACGTATATGTGTGTGAGTGCGTTGCTGGACGCGTGTGTTTCTCTAGCATGGCCAAAACGGATCAATAATACTCCCACACTGGCAAGACCACTGGTCAGAAAAATGGCCAGTCGCGCACAAGTTTCATTTTAAGACACAAATGACAGACACGCCTAGCCAAAAATACTAATTCCTTTCCTTCTCCGTTGCCTTAGCGATTAATTAGATTTCGGGTCGCTACCTAACTTCCTTCCTTCTCTTTTACTTGTCGACTCTCATATATGACCGGGGATAAGGCGAAACCGCCGGACTTTTAAATCTTCTATACGTTTCCAGATTTCATATTCGATTCCCTCGAAATTATTCTCGCAACGATGCGCGGAGTAACGTAAATTTGACTTTAGAAAGGGAAAGTTCGGATGCAAAAAATGTAAACAAGAGATAGAAGAGCGTGAGCGTATGGACAAACCGGTGCATGGAAAAAAGACAGGTATAACACGTGCATCCCTTCATGCATAAATAATGTCCATTTAAATTTGGATTCTGCTCAGTTGCAACGGGAATTTTTGCCACTTTCCCGTTTGAAAATTGATAAAAATTACGCACCCATTCCACACGAACCTTCCAAACGTAACAAATACAAATTTACGGTATCGATTATTTTTTATTACGTGTTTCCGATATTTACCCGGTATCGGACGTGAAATACTGAGCTGTAGAAGAATATCAAATGAAATTGCACCACTCGAAATTAAAATCGCCGATGGATTTTATCGCAATAACCTTAAAAAATATACAGCGTTAAAATAGGGCTTGATTTGTTGGTTAGGCCGGCTCAGATGGAATAATCGACACTGAAATATGCGACTGGCGTATAACAAACAACAAACGACAAGCAGCAGGTTTCAAACTCACCACAGACCGATCGCCAAGTTTTATAAAATTGTCATTGCTGGCTGACTGGCACCTATACCACACTAGCGAGGTGTACCTACTGATAAATTAAGGGACAGCCTCGAAATTGGACGGTGGTGCGCAACTCCATCAAATTTAGATGACAAAAAGCCGTTATTTGTTAAAGACGTGCGTCGATGTTATGTTTCCACTTTATCGCATATTTTTTTCCACCGCAAGGGCTTAAATCGAATGAAGGGCTAGGTGGAAGTGTGTTCGAAAGACCGCGGTTCTGGGGGCGACTTGAATCAGTGGGGGGAGTTTTTGTTTATGACGTTAAAACGCCAGAATGTTGAAACAAATATGCATGCGGCTGGTGGACGATTAAATATGGGGCTGATTTCCCGTGTTTATATAAATAGGAAACACGTGGACTTATTAGTACGGTAGACAAGAAGCAATTCCTGCAACGTGTCTACTACAGCTATTTTTACTGCAAAATCACGAAAAATGACGATTGAAAGTGTTAATCTGTATAACGAAACGATTTAGTTGCGTTTTTTTTTTTCAAAACTGGAGAATGCTAAACTTCGGGCAGGAAAAATCTTAGTGGAAAAAATGTTCGAAAAGCGAGTGCGATGAGGAAATTCTTTTCCTAATCGGTTTTTGGCCGGTCACTGGAGAAAAAATAGGAAATAAGAAACTTATGGCTGACATTTCTAAGTTGTGACATGTTTAGCACTTTTCAATTACTTAGTATTACCACTTATTGTTCAATTAATACTCAATTATTATTAACTAACCCCAAAACTAATCAATAATTAAATTAACAGACTTTATTAATTATTAAAATATTTAAGTGGCAAAATGTGTATTGAAGTAATCAGTATTTTGGTGGAATACGATGACTTTAAATAAGGCAATTTTAATGCAATAAATATTTAACAACTTTAGACTAATTAAAACGGTAGGCAATCAAGACCCATTAACAAGCATCAGATAACGGCATGAAAAATGCATAGCATTTGGTCAGATAAGAACATAATCTTAAAAATTGTAAATGAATTATTTCTGTTAAAAAAGTTGTTTTATTCACTTTTTAAATAGTTTTAGACATTTCGCATATCTGACATATCTGAAAACAGCTAAACACGTCAAAAAGTACAAATATAATAAATTAGAGTTTCACTTTTAAAATTAATTAATCAATCATTGAGCCCTTATTTGACCATCTGACATTAAAAAATTCATATGGTTGCTTTTTTTTCATAAAATTAAATTTTTTGATATTGTGAAAAATCCACGTCTTGACAGAGTTTATCAGGTATTGATGTTACAATTTAAGCAGAAAAGTTGAATGTGATTAACACAAAAATGATCAAATTAAATCAAATATTTTTGTTTGAAAGGCCAAATTGCACTTAGTATAGGAAAAGTCGATTTTACAAAAATAACGAAAATAGTATCAGGTACTAAGAAATATTCTTATGTAAAAATAGGAAATAAGAAACCTATGGTACACAGTTCTACGTTTTGACATGCTTAGGAGTTTTCAAATACTTAGTAGTTCCACTTATTCTTCTGTTAACAATCATGTATAGGCAACCATTCCCAAAAAAATACGTAGCGTTTGGTCAGATAAGAACAAAATTATAAATGAATTATTTCCGTCTAAAAAGGTGATTTATTCAATTGTTAAATAAGTTTTAACATTTTGCTACATAAATATGTGGATAGTTAATAAAATTGACAATTGATTAGGGACCCAGTAATTGAAAAAGGGAAAAAACAAAAAACACTAGCAAAAAGGCAAGGAGGTAAGAATAGACTAAAAGAATTGGAAAGCCCAGGGGCAAAAAAATGGAGACGACTTTGGAATTGCCATACAATACCAGAAAAGCAATAAAACGTGTGTAAATAAGAAAGAAAACTTTACGACAGTAAAGAAAGTAATTAAAAAAAATAAATGTTTGAAATCAGCTAAGCACGTAAAAACGTATAAATGTTAGCTAAAGAATAATTTGTATTCGAAGGTATTGTAAAAAAAGGAATGAACATAAACAAGATAAAAAATATAAATATAAACAAATTAAATATTATCTGACATCCTAGACAATAAATTAGCATTTATTTTCCTAAAAGAAAAAACTGTTCGAGAAGCAATTTTTAAGATGAGAAAATCTATTGGAATAGTTTAATAAATGTTATTACTCTGTATTTGTTTAAAACAGATAGGAATATGTGTTGCAAATAAATAGTGTTGATCAAATCGAACCAAATATGTTTATTCCAAACACCAAACTATTATAGGAAAAATCGTCCGAAAAATAAAAAATAAAAAATAAAAAAAAGTAGCTAAATACTGAGAAAAAATCTTGTAAAAAAAAGAAATAAGAAACCTGCAAAATATAACAGTCTGTCCCAGTACGGGCAAAGATGTACGATATTAGAGAAACGAATTGTCCTAGAATTTTGAAAAAAAAAATTAAGTCAATCGAGTTTCTGAAGTATCCAGCATTTATCAAATATGTTTAAAATATTAAAGTCTCATTATATGCTTTCAAGTGACAGTTGTTCTCAAAACAATAATCTTCTTATTTGGACTGTTGGAGAGGAAAGGAAAAAAATTGATAAAACGCATTGTCGAAAAACAGAAACAGTTATCCAAAATCATTGCGAGCTTGCGAGTAAATTTTGGATATGAAGAAGTTAAATTTTTACACACTTACAGACATTAAATTAACAAATTACACAAAACCAAAGGTTATATAAGTGGTCTTTCTTATATCTCCTTTATTTTTTTTTCTTTTGCACGGCATTAACAACGATTTAAACAAAAATTGCAATCGAAAACGAGAAGTGGTTATGTTTCAATAATCCTAATTTAGTTGTACAGAAAAATTATATAAGAATTAGCGCTTGCCGTTATCATGCCTTGGCTCGAAATTAAGATAAAGAGGGTTAAAATTGGTTAAAAACTATTTCAGAAAGACCGTGAACAGTTTTTTTTTTGATAAAATGCTGGGTCCTGATAGAGAAAGTGAACACAAATTTAATAAACCTGTAATTTAGAAGTGCGTTTTGCTAAGGTTTTATGTAAAATTGGAATTTGTCTTTAAAATTTATATAATAATAAATAAATAAATAAATAAAAGTACATAAGCTAAATTTATGGATATTAAGATTTCTAGCCACAGGTGAAACTTCTTAATTCGTATTAAACATTTGTAAAGTAATATATGACACTTTCAACGACGAATTTCTACAAGTAAGCTTACGAAAATATAATTGTAATTGCATGGTTTTAAGAATGACGCTATCAATAACGCCGAATAAAACATATCCAACATTTAGAATTTGTATGCAATCAGCGATGAAAATGAAACTTTTTAAGATGTAAAAGCATTTTTACATTTTTGATTAATTACTTGGAAATATACTTCAATCATAATTTTATCGATAACCGCATTAATCTAAAATCCAGCGAACCATTTCTCAAGCCCACAGAAAAAAAGTTTTCCGCTCCTAAATACACAGACCAAATTGTTATCTTCAATATCTACAATACAATTAATCGATTTTTAGCCAGCGATGGTGATAGAAAAGTAATCAAAGGATCAAGTCCTGCCCTGCGTTTGATCTGATCAGAAACGGCGACGGTAGTCCTCGGTGGAGATAGGCTAATATTATTTACCTGAGATATTTTAAAAGACAGTTTTAGTTGACTGTGAAGTGGTGTGAGTTTCGAATTGACAGACGCACCTGGCTTCACATTTAACGGACACGTGTATATATTTCACGTGTGTTTTGTTTCGGAACTGGCTGGTTTTCCGATTACACTCGTCACCTTGTAAGTCAATTTTAGCATTTTCAGTGATAATTTTTTTTTTTGCGATTGACAATGGGCAATCAATTTCGAAAATTTCCGTTATAAGATTTTTAATTCAATATAAAACAAGTATTTAGATCGCATTATTGCGGCAACCACATAGGTATGCGTGATTTAATAACGCCGATATTGAATGCCGTTTTAGACTAGCCTTTGCCTTAACAATTTTGATTATTATAATTAAATTTTTCTAGCTGCTTTCAATTAATTCTTCAACTATTTAATTATGCGTACATTTCAACACGTATGACATGCAAATTGAAATTGTTTTTTGCTTTAAATCGGATATTATTTAGTGCCAACAACTGGTTTTATAAATAAAGCAGCTTGCTCTAGAGGAAGTTAATTTCATTTTTGTTAAAAGTTACGCGGTTTGCGAAAAATTCTCAAAGTTTATTTAAAAGTTTTTACCTCATTGTTTTGTGATAGTGGGTATACAAATAGTAAAGCTGAATATTAATTTTGGTTATTTTTTTAAATTTTAAAGTACACCGCTAACTTCTTTCTTTTTTTTTTTCGGATTAAATAGCTAAAGATGCAAGTTTTGTAGTAACTTTTCGAGATAAAAAAATAAAAGTTATAGAAAAAATGCATTTCAAGTTTTAGTTGCTTATTAAAAAAAAAACAGAAAAAGGGTATTTTCTGTCAAAAATATTGAATATAGATTTTTTTCGAGAGAGTATTTAAAAACAAAAGAGTAGAAACCCGTTTCTAAAGTCACACTTAAACATTTTTTTATACAAAAAATAGCATTTCCAGTTTTTGTTGCTTGTTCATAAAAAAAGCGAGAAAAAGGATATTTTTTTATCCAAAATATTGGTTATAGCCGTGTATACCGTAAACAGCTCTATTCGACATTTGATAAAGTATTTATAAGAAACCGATCTTTTAAAAAGTATGTATCAAGAAAAGAAATAACGGTACATAAAGACCAAGTAATAATTAATTATTTTTTCATAGGCTCCTGTAATACCATATACAAATCTTCTGGATTTCTCTCGTGTTGGTTGTTGATAAATTGAACTTGCTGACAGTCTGACAGTTTCAGTTAAGCTCTGAAGAAGTCAACAGGATGATAGGCGAAACGTTGGCAAATTCGATTTGTTCTTTCGGTGAATTTACACTAAATGACGAGTAAAAAGTTGGGAATACCCAAAAATTTAAAGTCTTTCCCCTTCTCACGCTTAGATTGGTACAACCTGTACACATAGAGACCCATTTCCACGCAATAATTAAACCCACACACTCCCCGCCCATGAATACCAATGAAGAGATTTTGACTAATAAAAAACCGAAAAGTTTCGGGATGATTAATCGATAATTTTTCACCAACGTAAATACGAACGAGATAGGAAACCCATCGGTGCCAATAGAATAACTTTAAATTGGATGTAATGATGAAAATCCCGAAAACATTAAAATTATAATTATTTGCGGTAAATCCCACAAACTCCTCTATTGTTCGTGAGCGAACATAAAACGCATTGGTTTATTATTTCTACTTATCTCTGCGTCGTCAAATATAAAATTTCCTTTGGTAATGTGCAGTTAAAATTTATTACTCTCGAAGAAAATTAAGTATTAGATATACATAACGTACTTTAGGTGCTGATAAATATAATACACCCAATTCTCTAAAAATGACTATGGATTAAATGATGTATGCTTATTTGATGTCCCATGTTAGAAAATTTTGTACAAAGGAAACTCGCTGATCTTGTAAAGAGCCAACATCAAATCCACATTAAGTGCCAAATACTTGGGTTCAAAAAACTTTTGAGATTTTTTGAACAGAAAAAAATTAAGTAAGTGTCAAAATTGAAAATGTGCTGTTAAAATTATAATTTTATATTTTTATAGACTTTTTTGCAGCATTCGCATTGTAAATATTTATATTAAAATTTTTCTTAGAATTATATTTCAGGTTTAACAAATAATAGCAAATGATGACATTTTCAGACCTATATATTCGCCATCATAGATTTGACTTATTTTTAAACAAGCAATTTTCTTAAAGATAAGTTTTGGAAGGAAGACATGAAATCATCATGAAATTGTTCAGATATTTTTCCACTTGACTTTTTTATGAGGGTATCTAAAAAACAAAATTTACTAATACCAGACCTAAGAATTAATTAAAGTATTATAAGAAAGAATTATTAATATTTGCCTCATCCTATATATGTAAGCATATATACAAAATTTCTAAGGATTATTGAGAAGAGTTTCTTAAATTAGGAAGAAAACTAAAACTGAACCACAGAAAGATAATGAAATACTTAAATCTTCCTCGGTGCTTCTTTCTATTATTTTTACTTTGCGCTATATAATTTCCTTTATTTAACGAATTAAAGAGAAAATGTCATCATTTCATTGTGATTGACTTTGTCATGACTGACTAATTACTACGATTTAAGAGTTAAAGATTATTTTAAACCTAAAAAACGAAATCCCTGAAATTTGAAATTAAAAAAACGGATATATAAGAATATCTATACAGGGGGCTCCATTAAAAAAATATCAATTTAACATTTAAGAGTTAAGAAAATTTGGACCCGTATAGTCTCAAAACTAAAAGATGAAATGTCTGAAATTTGAAATGAAAAAAAAAAGACATCGATATCAATTTTTTTTACATATTTTGACAAAGATTTCAAACATCTGTGATCGATTTGAACGGGATAAAATCGAAATAAATACCAGGAAATGGTCTCGAGTCATATGTATACGTAGTAATTAGGTATTTATTGCGATAAAATTTTACTATCGAATTGAAAAAAAAGATGGTAGCCTTTAGGAGAACGATGGGGAATTAGCGTGATTTATGATGAGATTGTGGGATAAAAGAAGATCAAGTTTTGTATTAAGAGGAAGATTACTTCTAAAAATTCTTAAATTCTCTGCCGAGTAATAAACCAATTTGTTTATGTAGGTCGTTAAACTGTGAATGTTTGATAGACCTAGTGAATATATGTAACGATTTTTATGGTAAAAATATTCATTTTATCTGCTATTTTACAAATATTGTTATAATTTTTAAAACAGGGCGATAAAGCAGTCACTGTATTTTTTCAAAGAATTTTGTTTTTATATTTTACCAACATTGCTAAAGTCTACGTATGTAAAGAAAAAAATAAATGACGAGATGAAATTGTGGGATAAAACAAATTTTGTACACAGGCAAAGATAACTGATAACTATTTTACTAATTTAAGTCTACATACAAAAATGAAAAAAACATATTAAAGATTTGGGATATTTTTGGAAGTTGTATTTTTTTTCGAAAAATTTTATATTGACAATAATCTAATTATTACTCTTTTTCACGTTAAAAAACATAAGTTAGACCGTATTCGTTTTAAACTTGAAATACAGGGTCTATGCAAATTAGCTGTAATTGCCGTTTTACAAAATTTTTCCTGAGAACGTAATTATTTTCAAAGAAACCAAAATTTTTTCAGTGAATGTTACAAATTAATTATTTTTGATGTACAGATGTGATAAGAACGATATTTTTCTCACGAAGTGCAACTGGTTTACGATTCGGTATGACAAAAATGATGAAAAACGCCTTTTTTATTTTCGGGAATGTATGGATTTAAAAAAAGTGCATAATTCTGTTTTCCCGTTTCTATTGAGAAGTGTAATGAACGTAAATTAAAAACTCAATTACATTTCACAACAAACTTGGTACAAAATTAAAGCGACAATGCGACAACCTGAACACAATAACAAGTCACCGCTGCAAATGCTAATTAAAGCATTGCCGGCAATGTAAAAATCAAAACCGATCGATAACGAAATTTAAAATTTATTATAACTTAGTTCGATTACGTAACATTTTCGATTGGCGGGTATTAATGAAATTTTGAAAGTAGGTGCCAGGTGATAAGTTTTCTCTTTGTTGTCGCTTTTTCGCGGTTTTTTTTTCATCCTCCGATTACACCAAACGTCTGTGCAATCATGCGTGTCTCGTGTTTTAAACGTTATATTGTTTGTAATAAATTATTTCGGTTATTGATCTTATCTGCGTTTAACGTTTTTTTTTTGTTGGGAAAACCTTACGATATCGGTTGTTTTACAATTGGTCGCAAATATTTGCATGTAGGTACATAATTCCACCGAATAAAGGACAACCGTTTCAAAGAAATTATATGGTTTAATGATGAATGTTTTGTCGTAAGAAATTCGCTACTTTTGACTTTATTAAGATGTTTACAACAAACAGCGGTATTAATTAAAAACGCCATTATTTGTTATCTGTTAAAAAAATACAGTTGTAGTATATGTTATTTTTAAATTTTTTTTTTTTATAAGACAGACTCTGGCTTCATTTTCCTCCTCGAAGTTTTTTTCAAAAATATCGAGGATGGCGCTTATTTTATAACTGCTACATATTCCACAACATAAGGAAAAATGTTTTAGTGGCGTTTCAGTGTTTTCCAGTGAAAAATTCCCAACTTTTAACTTTACTAAGTTTAATAATTTAAAACATTGATTTTTTTTATCAGTTAAGAAACAATTTATTTGTTATTTTTTATTTTATTTATTTATTTATTTTTTGAGACAGAAATTCTGACATTTCATTTCTTCATTTTGGTATTGCGTCGAACTAAGCATAGCAATGCTATAGTCAAATTACGTTTTATTTTTAATGTTTTTTTTTAAATTCATTAGCAGTTTAAAAAAACAATTTCAATTATATTTTTTTTGACACAGGATCTGACATCGACTTTTGAAGCTGATGACTTTCATATTCATTTCAATTATTTTTTCAATACTAAAGATCACGATACGGATCGTTAGGATATTGGTTGCTTTAAAATCGGTAGCCAGCATTTAGCAATTCCACAAAATAAGTAGTAGTGGAACGACGAAAGCGAACACTTAAAACTTACTAGAGGCGCTTTCATAGAACTTATTTCACCATTAACAAAAAATGTTGATTAATCCGGACTGAT